GCTGCTAGCATTGCTGAAGTCCATGAGTGACGGCAAACACCATCAGATGGGTCGTACGCTGGCCCATAAACGCAATAAAATAAATAATAGTTTAAAAAAACTAACAAAATACGCTTTTATAGAAAATCCAACTGAAAAATAGAAAATAAATTTTAATAAATGTGAATTAAAAATAGTGTAAGAAAAAAAATATTTTATTGTAAAAAAAAGCGTGGGGTGCTTTTCAGGATATTATCAAAATAACTACTGATACCATGCACCCCACGCTTTTTATTTTAAATTTTTTTAGTTGGATTTTCAATAAAAGCGTTTTTTCTTAATTTTTTTCAAACTATTATTTATTTTTTATTTATTAGTTGAATTTCAATTTTATTTTTAATTTTTGTTTTAATATTAAATTATCATCGCTCCTTAATGAGTATACCAAATTTTGAGTTAATCCGACGTTTTGAAGGGGGTCTAAATCATATTCAAAGATTCCCGTACAAACATACATACGTCTGAAGCTAATAAAAGCGTATTAAAAATAAATTTTTCATAAATAACTATGGGTATAGGAAATATATATTGCTCAGTCAAATGACGTCCTAAGGATCGATGACAAACAAAATTAGGTTCTTTACAGAGTTACTGCGCACTGTTCTAACTGAACATATTATCATAATTTTATCGATAAAAATTCAACAGCAGTTCTTATATTCCGGTTAAATGTTTATACGTATAATATATCAAGACACACACACACACACACATTCAATATAGTTTCAAGGATACGTACCTAGAGGCAGTCCGGAAAATCCAAGAGGGATTTTATTAAAATTAGACGAATGTAAATTTTATTGCGTTTTTACTCGGCTGGGGTCTAGGGCGAAGTCTAAGCAAGGATATTAATACTAAGATAGTATGAAAGTAGCAGTATATTTTACTTACAAGCCAGTGCATGCATGTGTGAGAACATACCCTCCATGTTCAATTTGCTCCATCATAGGGTCGTCAGGTTTGAGCCCCGTGAGCTCACCTACTAGTTACGGTCACGCTGGAATAGCCTCTCTAGGCTACCAGCATAGGTAGGAAAAAAAAAAGCTCCATCATAAAATCTACTAATAAGAATTAGACAAATAACAACTTGAAAACGAAGTTGATGGTTTTTCGACAAACAGACATGTTCATGACACAAATATTTGCCCAACATGGGAATCGGAACCACGAACTTGAGCCAGTAGTCAGGGGTCACTACTGCGTCACCGAATTGGTACATGCGACCAGCGTGCAAATAAGAGTATGCAGTAGAGTTCATCCATACTACCTGGAGCCACTGCGTTCAACCACAATGCGTTTCGAGAGAATTTTTTTGCCACGAACCATCCAGCTTTGGAAAGCGCTCCCCTCCACGGTGTTTCCCGAGCGCTATGACATTTCACTCTTCAAACGAGACCGGTGGAGAGTACTTAACGGTAGGCAGTGGCTTTGCTCTGCCCCTGGCATTGCTGAAGTCCATGGGCGACGGTAACCACTCACCATCAGGTGGACCGTATGCTCGTCCGCATACAAGGGCAATAAAAAATAAATAAATAAACTCTCTCCAGGTCCTCTAACCCTTCCAAGTTTCTACAGGATAGTCATCGGAGCACCGTGGTACGTGAAGATGTTGACCTTCACGACGACCAATACATCAGTATCTTAAAATAGCATCAGGACGCTACTTCGGCAAAGCGGTGCGATACGAATTCCCTCTTATCGTGGCCGTCGCTAATTACTTATTCGACCCAGGCGACGGAGCAATGCGAAAATACCGTCGCCCGAAACATGTCTTGTTGCATCTCCCGGATCCACTCTCGGTGCTTTTGCACCTCAGTGGGTCGCGATCCCAATCCGGCAGAAGTATCTGCGAAGCACTGCTCTTGCTAGGGCCAGTGTTAGCAAATTCTATCAGGTTGAGTCCGTGAGCTCATCAACCCGTCCGGACGTAACTGGAATAACCACTTAGACTACCAACGAATAGCTGGAGGAAAAGAACAAAATCGGTCTACTTACTTGATTTTTTATTTATTTCATTTAGTTATTAATAACGAGTTTTCGTTTAAGACGATACCGGCATTCCCGCCATAGGTATATAAAATTTCTGGAAAACACAACAATGTATCATTAGTATTTCATTGGTATATGGAGTGGTATCATTAAACGTTAAAAACATTCTGAATAACCTACGAAAGTGGCGCTTTTTCTTAACCATACTAAGGTTAGGTTAGGTTAAGAAAAAGCGCCGCTTTATATTTTAAGCAACAATAACGTAATACATCAGATATGATGTATCACTCACTCGAAACACTTCGCTGAATGATTATAATAAAAATTTTAAACCGGAACGGATGTGAAATGAGTGTCAAACTTCACCAAATGATAAATTACTTATTTGACGATGAACAATAAATTCACTAAACCTTTCTTAAGTCCAAATTACGACTTTAGATGACGATTCAAACCAGCCAAGATGCGTACTGGATGGGAAAACCTTCCCATGGTTGCTCCAAAAATTGGTGATCTGCGACTTCAAATAGTCAATATATGCTTGCAGTATGCACTAACTCCCTCGTGCTGTATTTGGTAACTATTAAATTTCCTCCTCCTCCTCAAAAGCACCGTTAGTGGATCCTCCCGATCCACCAACGGTGCTTTTAAGTACCCCAAGCACCGGTCATTGTTCTCCTCGAACTCGTCGCCTGCGGCGAAGGGCTCGGCGAGTAAATTAACCCACAGACACAGCCCACTGAGTTTCTCGCCTCATCTTCTCAGTGAGTCGCGTTTCCGATCCGGTGGTAGATACTGCTTTTTTTCTCTCCTACGTATGCTGATAGCCTTGAGAGGCTATTTCAGCTTCACCCTGACGTGTAGGTTAGCTCACGGGGCTCAAACCGGAGTGTTGCTAACACTAGCCCTAGCAAGAGCAGTGCTTCGCAGAATCTACAATCGAATCGGAAACGTGACCCACTGAGAGATCCGGCGAGAAACTCAGCGGCATGTGTCTATGGGTTTAGATTCTGCGAAACATGGCTCTTGCTAGGGTATTCGTGTTAGCAACAACGTCAGGTTTGAGCCCCGCGAGCTCACCTACTAGTTCGCTAAATCTAGAATAACCCCTCGAGGTTACTAGAATAGGTAGGAAAAAAAATTTTTTAATTCTTTTCTACTCACATGATTGAATAGAATACAAAAAAGTTCGCTAAATCTAGAATAACCCCTCGAGGTTACTAGAATAGGTAGGAAAAAAAAATTAATTTTAATGCTTTTCTACTCACACGACTAGGTAAATAGAATACAAAAATTTTAAAAAGTATTTTTCATTACAGGTCGAAAATTCGGTAAAGATCTCGAATATTCCTAATGTTTCGATATCCAAACCTCTTACATACAGTACGCTTTATGGTTTCGCAAGGAGTCAACTCGAATGCGATAATTTATAAATCATGTTTGTTGTTTATTAGGGCAGTCGGCTCATGAATGTTCAATCTATTTATAGCTCGCATTATTATTTCAATGTTGAACACATGGTCAATACTGTGCTTGTTAAAGCCAGTTGTCACAAGATAATAGTTTTAAATTTGTAGTCCGGTAAAAACTAGTTATATTCGCTATTTAATGAATTCGTTTTATATACATATTTGTAAGTACTAGAGGTCCCGCAGTAGTCGAAATTCGACTATAATTAATTGGAGTTTCAAATTTGTACACTACTATGATTGTATTTTATACTTTTATAATCACAAATTTCGCCAAGACTACATTATAAAAAATATTAACAAAGACAAACAATATTTAATCTATTCTCAATTTGACAACAGACGTCAAGAACAACAGTTTGACAATAAATAGTATGCATGATGCATGCGTGTTGCGTCAAATACATGGTATGTAGTGTGTGTAATGTTTTCTTTATTGATTTAATGTATCTTATATGCATTATTTAAAAAAAATATTAGCATTGTGCACTTCTTCTCTATATTCTCTATAAGTGTGGAAAATTTCATACTCCTCCGTCCGCGCAATTTTCGTAAAAAGGGATACAAAGTTTTTGCTTCACGTATTAATATATAGATTAGTAAAGTGACTTGTTTTTGGACAACTGAAAACGTAAAATGTCAAATATAAAATAAATGTCATACAATACCGTAAAGTTTTGTAATTGCTCATGGTAGGTTTTTTAAATAAAATGACTAATTCAGACTTCAATTCGCTTCGACTTCCTACAGATTGCGAACTTGTTACTGAGAAGACGACACCTAAAACACTTACGTATAGAAATAAGGACGGCAAAGAGAAATATGTTTAAGGAATTAATCTTCACAACGCGTTGACATCAGACAGCCCGCCACTGATTCCCAATAGTCCAGCGTAACCAGAACCATCGCGGCGACCACACGACACGACTCTGAGCGAAGATAAAACAAAGATAACTGGATGGAAAGCTAATTTGTTTTCGATCCCGCAAACGAACTTAATCGGAAAAGAATAGGACGGGTAGCAATTTAGATGCCATCTTCTAACCCCGCAAAGCGGGAGAGAATGGCAGCTGAAAAGGCACTTAACCAGAAACCAGTGTTACAGTCAAGAAAAGCTTATTTACTATCCACCGCGGACCTTTGCTTTGTTTTTCCATTTAATAATTGCGCTAGTAATAATTTCGATATATTTATTTTAATCCATTGAAGTCTCAAATATATTAAGTGTATGTATCTATGCCCTGAAGTTCCGATGATCAGTAAAATGAATGACACCATATTTGACACTCAAAGAATTTAGCATATTAGCGCGTTCATCCTGTCAGTTGACAATATGTTGACATACATGAAGGTGCTCACTAGTTTTGTTTACAGATGAGATCACATGAACTCAATTGCATCGGTACCCTTAATTTGGAACAAAAGATTGATTTGTGGCTTAAAAAAAAAACAGTAACTTATATATATCCGCAGGCTCAAAAAAATCAATTTAACTGTTAATGAAAATAATTTTTGATTTATTGTTTCTTATTTTTTAAGACACTTCTATAACTATGAATCGTATTCGTTCTAAGCGGAAATAAGTCACACATGTTCATTACCCCATTATATATTTACGATATTCGCAACATTTCAAAATTAGTACTTTAAAAATATACATTAATTTATATGACTAAAATAACTTTAACGTAAAATAATAACTTACTCAGATAATGTATTGTAAAGAAGTATTAAAAAACACAGAAGAACATTGAAACATTACAATTATGAATTCAATTTGATTTTAGAAAATTCGAGATTTGTAATTATAATTTAGCATTTAAATCATTTTAATATATAGAAAATGATGTCGACAACACATGTAATATAAAACTGATTAAACCAGAAAACTTAAAATCGGATGGCCAATTAATTGATCTAAGTACTAAAAGCCAATTACGTTAATTCCATGAATATTTACAATGTTTATTTTTAAAATTAATATCGCGTGTTCTACGCATTGTCTTTCCGGCCATTGCACTAAAAACTAGAATAACATAATTATCAATATTTGTAAACAAACACAATATCTCGAGGTTATCACTTGCAAAGTCACTCAATGACAAAAGTAACAAAAGAACAAGACAGTCAGAGTGATCTTAATTCACGCAGTTAGATAACTTGGAACACTTTCGAAAAACGTGGCACGATTTTGTTACAAGAACACTTAAATAACACATAATAAACCTTAACTTGAGCACTAAATTATGAATAATATCGTCTAACAGAGAATTACTATGCAAGGTTTTTTTCTTCCTAACTAACAAAGTGTATTATTAGTTTATCAAAATAAAATTTACATTTTTTTTTTGTATGAAATCACTTATGAAACTAAATCTATAAATAACTAAAAGATCACAGAAAATCGAACCCACACTGGTTACGTTTACCATAATTCCGACCGAAACCTACAACAAGATCAACCCATCCTCATGATGTTGCGGCGTCTGAGCAGCCGCTCCATTGCGTAGAACACGCGATCTGACCCTCAGTAGGGGCATATGATGCCACCAGTCCCGGGAACGGCCGCTGCCTCCGGATAATGCACTCTGNATAACTAAAAGATCACAGAAAATCGAACCCACACTGGTTACGTTTACCATAATTCCGACCGAAACCTACAACAAGATCAACCCATCCTCATGATGTTGCGGCGTCTGAGCAGCCGCTCCATTGCGTAGAACACGCGATCTGACCCTCAGTAGGGGCATATGATGCCACCAGTCCCGGGAACGGCCGCTGCCTCCGGATAATGCACTCTGCAAATTTCTTTAAACGTCTTTCCTTGTCTATGCGGTCTCTCTACATTCCTCGGCGCCGGGTACGCGTTATAGCCATTGTATCCGTTGTAGCCGCCGTACCCATTATAACCATAACCGGAATTCCCGTATCCGTTGTATCCGTACGATCTCCGAGCGTTCCCGTTCAGCGCATCGTAAATAGCGTCGAAGAAAGGAGCGCCTTCCACGGAGACGAGCGTGACAAGTAGAAGCGCGATTGCGAACGTTCGGATCGCAGACATTGCGGAAGGGTGCGTCTGGGCAATTGTGTCAATTCAGTTCGCGGTCAGGGTGGCCTCGGCCTGCGGAAGCTCACACCGGTGCTGTTTAATCGCGAATGATGCCGGGGCTCATAACGCCGCCTTATATATCGGCCTCGGATCATCCGACGGCTGACGAACACAAGCGCGGGCGGGTTCAGGGTCCTACCCTGGACTCGCATTGAGAGACTAACTGCGGAATATTCGAAGGGTAAATTTTGTCACTTATTCCGTAAACAGGAAACGTTCGACCACGATTGCAAAGAGATAACGAAAATAGGTCTGTTCATTCTCGACTAGAGCGAATGCAGGCTGCAAATTATTTATCAAGCCCCATGGCTTGCAAAAGGTGAACAACAGTTCCGCAATAATATTAAGAAATGTCTAGACAAAAAGCAGCGCTAGGACCGTTTCCATAAAGGAGTGTAAATAAATATTTTATAACACGAATTACGTGTTATAAGAAAGAGGTCAGCGTGTAATAAAACACCACTACAAGAGACCTTCGCACAATGATAATATAAAACGAACAACTTAGTTTCATTTGACTGTTTCGATGCTTTCGTCGGGATTTACATGAAATACTATTGCAATTAACATATATACATCGAAATGTTACGTAAGGTACGACAGGTCGACAGTCAGTGGCAATGTTAAGGTAAATCGGAGTCAAGTTCAGCAAGGCTACGATCGTTCACCTGTTACTCGTTGCCTACCATTCAAGACGACCGCTTGACCATTTATTAATGCAACCGGAGCCTATGTACTGCGAATTATTCACTCAAATAGTATCATCGGTTTGCCAAACGTAAATGCTCCTATTTACTATTTACTCTGCACTACCTTTGGTTGACTGGCAGAGAATGTCTTAGGCATTAAGCCCGCCAATGTAAATTTTACATGAAGTTGTAATAAATGAATAAATAAACGTTCCTGAATATTAAAACATAACTACATATAATGACATTTAGAAGTATTTTGTGCGTGTGTAATGTTTTAAAGCGTATAAAATAGCTGAAGAATATTTTTTAAAACATGTCCGCTTATATTATTCAACACTATTTATAATTATTCTTCATTCATCAAAGTTGGTAATGCTATCACTAAATAGTATAAAACAAAGTCGCTTTCTCTGTCCCTATATCTGTCTGTCCCTATGTATGCTTAAATCTTTAAAACAACGTAACAGATTTTGATGCGGTTTTTTTAATGGATAGAGTGATTGAAGAGGAAGGTTTATATATATAATAACATCCATTAAATATTGGAGAAATCAATAATAAATTACAGTTTCCGAAGCGAAGCGAGGGCGGGTCGCTAGTTAGGTACTTATAATTCTACATTTTCGTCTTAACCTGTCGTAGTACACAAAATTAAGTTCACTACACTGTATTCCAATTACGAAGTCCCATGAGACGTTATTATTACCTTATTATGTGTGTGAATTAATTTTATAATGATTAAGATTGATAGTGTACTTTTTAAATGATGTTTACGACCATGATCAAAAAATGATAATTATTTCAAATTATGCGAAACGTGAAGAGTTACGTTCTAAGAAGTGTCAAAAGGGACTTCGTAATTGGAATAGAGTATAGTTATTACGACTTCGTTTGCAAAGCTTCGTTAGTAAAGTAAAACTGTGTTTAATGTATCAAAATATATAATCACTACATAGTATAAAACAAAGTCGCTTTCTCTGTCCCTATATCCCTATGAATGCCTTAATCCTTAAAACTACGCAACGGATTTTGATGCGGTTTTTTTTAATAGGTAGAGTGATTGAATAGGAAGGTTTATATGTATAATAACATCCATTAAATAGTGGAGAAATCAATAATAAAATACAGTTTCCGAAGCGAAACGAGGGCGGGTCGCTAGGAATAAACAATATAACATATAACACACATAAATTATGTCAAAGTTGTGTTGATGAATGACGGGAACGTGTTTATCATTGTACTCGGGCAAGTTAGTTCATAGCTCACCTGGTAACAAGGTGTTACCGGAGTCCGTGGACCTCTTTTTTACTAGGACCTCTTGCGAGTCCCCACGGGTAGGTACCACCAACCTGCCTATTTCAGCCGTGAAGCAGTAATGCGTTTCGGTTTGAAGAGTGGGGCAGCCGTTGTAACTATAGTGAGACCTTAGAACTCATATCTCAAGGTGAGTGGCAGCATTTACGTTATAGATATCTATGGGCTCCGCTAACCACTCAACACGAGGTGAGCTCGACAACCCATCTATGCAATAAAAAATTTTTTTTAAAGCTCACAGATTTGACGCATGAAGTCGAAGTCTCAACAGTATTGTAATACGGCTATCTTATGGTTCAGAACGGACGAATCATTCGCCGCAGAAATAAAATGGATTGTGGTACCAATCATACAATACATATATGATCCCTGCCCCATATATGAGCTTGTAACTTTAATACTTTCAATTTAGTGGTCACAAATGACTCCTCTAAAGGCTATATATTAACTTTTCGAATATTTCACCACTTTTAATTGCTCTAACATATTTGAAAAAACTAATTTACAAACAGAACGAAGCAATGATGAAACGTACTATTAACGAATAAAACGTAAATGTCGACTAAGCGAAGCTTGCTTCACGACACGTCGGTCACGTACTATGAAAGATTACCGACAATCCAACTTTAAAGCTCTCGGAACAAGCTTTGCGGTTTGTGACGACTTAAAACTTTAAGCAGAGCTGTTATTGTTGTGACAAGGCATTTATTAGCTTTAAACGAACGAAGGAATCTAAGCAATAAGTGTCGACATCCTAGTCGAAAAATTCGAAACTAATTTCAAGCAATATGTAGTTTTTTTGGAGTTTACTCCTTTAGAATCGATTTACATATATAGGCCCGGGGTATGAAAATTATGGGGACCAAAATCGTACTAGCATGTCACACGAAATGCGTTATGCGCCTGATTGGCTCCTGATTGCGTGATGCGTGCGCGCGCCAATCAGGAGCCAACGCGCGGCCGCGTTATCGCAGGTGACGCCGGGCTGCTGCNACAAATGACACCTCTAAAGGCTATATTAACTATCGAATATTTCACCACTTTTAATTGCTCTAACATATTTAAAAAACTAATTTACAACAGAACGAAGCAATGATGAAACGTACTATTAACGAATAAGACTTAAATGTCGACTAAGCGGAGCTTGCTTCACGACACGTCGGTCACGTACTATGAAAGATTACCGACAATCCAACTTTAAAGCTCTCGGAACAAGCTTTGCGGTTTGTGACGACTTAAAACTTTAAGCAGAGCTGTTATTGTTGTGACAAGGCATTTATTAGCTTTAAACCGAAGGAATCTAAGCAATAAGTGTCGACATCCTAGTCGAAAAATTAAATGTTAAGTGGTTACCGGAGCTCATAGACAACTACAACGTAAATGCCGCCATAAGATATGAGTCCAAAAGTCTTCTAAGTATAGTTACAACGGTTGCCTCACTCTTCAAACTGAAACGCATTACTGCTTCACAGCTGAAATAGGCAGGGTGGCGGTACCTGCCCGCAGGGACTCGCAAGAGGTCCTACCACCAGTATAAAAGAGTTCCACGGACTCCGGTAACACCTCGTTGCCAGGTGAGCTATGAACTCACTTGTCCGAGCACAATGATAAACATGTTTATATTACCGAGCTCACGGACTACCTGATCTTAAGTTACCGGGGGCCCATAGACATCAACAACATAAACGCCTTAGAACGAGATTTTAAGTAATTAAGTTTTAAGTAATAAGTAATTATGCAAATTATAATTTTGACTGATTTCTTCTACCATCAGTAAAGAGGCTCTAAATAGAGGGTGCAGTGAAAGGTCTCAACGCTCTAATGCCTACATGTCGCAACAATGGGCCTCATCGGAATGCAGACCGGTGATGTACCAAAGCAAGCTTGAATTCGACGAGGTTTACATTGAACGTTCGACTGATTCTGCGGAACATGGAATGAGAATTAATTAGGTTCCGTAGCTAAAAGCATGCAGCTAAATGATTTTCATAAAAATAACGTTCAAGTCATTAGAGTTTGCATTAACAAATTGCGTTGCAAATTAGGAGCGTATTTACTACCAAATTGCTCAGTAATAACGCAAATTACAATTTTGCGGGTTTGATTTTTATTACACGATGTTATTCCTTCAACGTGGAAGTCAATCGTGAACATTTGTTAAGTACGTATTTAATTAGAAAAATTGGTACCCGCCTGCGGGATTCGAGCTCCGTTGCATCGCTAGATACGAATGCACCGGACGACTTATCCTTTAGGCCACGACGACTGGGTTTTAGTCGGCAGTCGGTGTTGCGGGGCGGGTTCGTGCGCCTTTCTCAAGGCATAGTCTCCCGGTAGGAATTGGAAGAAGAGGAGGATTTTGGACTTCGTCTACTCCCTCTTCTTCTCTGGAGGCGCCGGAGTCTGACATAACCCGGTCTGTTACCCCTCTCGACCGGGTAATCGTAAACGGATTCCCTAGCGTTAAAAATAATAATAATAAGGTCGCGACGACTGTAAAAGGGTGCCATCTAGTGAATGTGAGCGCCGCAATGACTAGTCAAATATCGGCTCACTTCGGGTGGTGCACTTCGGCAGAGTACAGGTGTCATCGCTCAAGTGGAATCGAAACACATTCGTTGCCTGACTTAGGCAGAGTGAAGACGTCTCGGAATTGTCATCGTTTCGTGCTGCGCAATCTCTTTGCACGGCTACCCACCATACGCCCACTATGTTATTAAATAATTAAGATATCGGCCCATTCCGCGACATATATATAGATATATAAAGGCATGTGGCGTTTAAGAACGCACATTTTTATGATGCGTAAGTCGGAACGCACGAGAGGTAGGAAAAAGGATATAGTATGTGACACGGGACCTTTTTACCGCCAAATATTTAAAACGTAAAAATAATTTATAATGTGTTAAATAACTAATATAATGTAATTACTTAGAATTATTTATGCCGCTACAACAATAAAATTTATATTGTTCCAATTGTGGTGTTAATTATATAAAACACGACTTTACGGCGAAATAAAGAAGGGACTCTATATGAACTCCCTCAGGCA